GGTGGTAAGGGGCACTGTGTGTGTGGACACACATTCATTCTATCAGAACAGCGTTGCTGTATGGATGCGCTAAATCTCTATAAGGATAAAACAAGATAGCTAAATGTTACATGTAACTGATGTTCCTTGAACGGCTGCCTCATCTAGTGTGGATACATCCAGAGAAGGAAGCAGGTCAGTCAGTCACAAAACAACCTTCTACTGCTATGCACTGAATCACTGTTACTAAAAAGCAAAACAGCAGTAAAATAAATTGCATCTTTGATCAATATGTTTGGAGCAAGATGAAACTGCTACTAATCTGTGCTGTGAATAAAATTTCAGACATTCCCTTTGTTCTAAGTTTCTAGGAGTCCCCTCTAATATGTTCTTCCTTTTATCAGCTCTTGAGTATAGGCTGTGTCTACACTGGCATGAATTTCCGGAACTGCTTAAAACGGAATACTATTCCATTTTCAGTTTTTCCGGAAAAGGAGCATCTACATTGGCAGGCTGCTTTTCCGGAAAAGCCCTTTTTCCGGAAAAGTGAGTGTGGCAAATATAGACACGCTTTTCTGGAAAAGACTACTGGGCTGTCTACACTGGCCCTTTTCTGGAACAGTGTTCCGGAATAAGGATTTATGCCCGAGCGGGAGCAGAATAGTTTTTCCGGAATAGCGGCTGATTTTGTACAGTAGAGCGTTGTTGCTTTTCCGGAAATTCAAGGGCCAGTGTAGACAGCTCGCAGCTTATTCCGGAAAAGCGGCTGATTTTCCGGAATAAGTGGCCCAGTGTAGACACAGCCGAGGTGTTTACTGTTTCCTCCTCGCTGTTCCACACTTAGGCCTGAGCTACAAGTGGGAGATAACCTATCTCTGTTAATACGTGAGATTTTTTTCTATTATATTAAATGGATCGTTGCTCCCTGAGGAGTCTAGCCTACTGCTCTAACCCAGTGGTGGGCAACCTGTGGTCCGTGGACCCCCTGGCTGTCCCCTTAACCCACATGTCTCCTATGCACTGGGGCACTGGAGACCCACACTTCCTATGCATCCCCCCTGTTTCTCAGCACAAATCACCTGATTCATGCTCCGTCCCCACTCCTCCCCTTCCCTCTCAGAGCTGGAATGGTGTAAATCAGCTGTCTGCAGGATTCCAAAAGTATTGGGATGGAGGGGGAAGAGCAGATAAATGTAGGGCTCCAGTGCCCCAGTTTGTGAGAAGTGTAAGAGAGGGAGGACAGACAGGGGAGCCACAGGGCTGCAAGTGAACTTTAGTGGGCCACGGTCTGCTGTGACCCATTGAGATGAAGGAGGGCCATTCATGGTTGTCCTTCCCTGCTCTAATCCCATTCTGTCCCCCAACTCTGGCCTACCATCAGCGGTGAAAGTAACTTAAAAATATCTTACAGGTACTGTCCTATTGCAACCCAGATCCCTGCCAGCTTTTTAAATAGCTCCTGCTGGCTTTTTCTACAGCACAGCCAGCTGTTGCTGGAGCTATGCATCAGGGTGCACCTGCTTACTTTCACCTCTGCCTGTCCTCTACATACGGCTCCAGAACAGAGCATGAACGATAGCCTCTTCTATAGCAAGTTTAGAAGTGCTTTGATCTTGCTGACCTGTGAGTAGCACACGGTACTGGAATATGCGCTGTACCACTTTCAGAAATTGGTGCTTCACACTCACGGGGCTGCCGCCAGGATTCTGCTATCCTCAAGAGATGGAAAAAAACATAATAGTCAATGCTCTGTAGTTTGCATCCTGCTCTCACATGCATGATGCACCACCTGGAAAATCTGCCATGGCAACTACATGCACAAGTGCTACTGAACTGTTCCCCATTTAGCCACTTAGCTGCATCATCTATTAGAGCTTAGATCAGAATCTTCATCAATATAAAGAACCAATATAGGAAAATAATCATTTTGTAGCATCATATTTAATACCACACAATAGTTCAGGCTGGAGAAAGTGAGAAAAAGAGAACCAACCAGAAGCTGGAGAAAGTGAGAAAAAGAGAACCAACCAGAAGCTAAGGGCAGAAGAGATCTTAGGGTGTGTCTACACTTCACCCTTAGCTTGAAATAAGCTATGCAATTTGAGCTATGCAAACCGTGGAGGTTATTTTGAGTTAATTTTGAAATAGCTCATTTTGTAATTTGAAATAAACTGCTATTCTGAAACATTCCTTAATCCTCATGGAACGAGGTTTACAGGGATGTCAGAATAGCAAACCCGTTATTTCAAAATAATGGACTTGTTTAAAAGATGTGGAATAGCTATTTCAGAATACCGGAAGTATCCCAAAATAGTGCTGCAGTGTAGACATATCCTTAGAATGATATCCAAGGATCCAAAGCAACCAGATCATCATGAAGCTTGCTGGGTTCTCCCAGACCTTTTGCCACTTTTCAAATTGTATGTCTCTTGGGTTTCATTTTAAGAATCCAAATAAGTGTGAGCCAAATACAGCAAAATACCCCAGTGAGGCTGAGTTAGGGAAGCTGATCTTCCAATGAAAAAACAAAAAACCCAGCAGTCTCTCAGGTGGTTTGATTTCCCTGTCCAACTTCCAAAACTAACTGAGTTTTATATGGCTTCAACTTTCATTAGTCAATGTCTGCACAGTTCTTGCAGTGACTTGGAAAGAGAGGAAGGGGGAAAAGGTTAATAGTGATAGCAATATGTACTAATGAAAGACAGCGTACAGTAGAAAGTCCAGTTTCAGACAGCAGTGATGCTTTATGTTATTGCTATATTTGGCTGTGAGTGATGAACACTCTGGAAATATGGCAGTATAGATGGAGAGACAGGGATGACACTTTACTGTGTTTATCACAGGGTGATACTGGTCCTTTAAGAGGAAGAGGCCAGTGCACCTGTGACTATAAGTTGACTCCCAGTTAGTCTTAAAAGAGAGCAGGTGAGCTGTAGGGTACCCAAAGGAAGATAGGAGGGGAAAGGTGAGAACTCCCCGAGCACAGAGGAGGGACAAAAAGAGTAGCAAAGGGTTACTCGGAGAAACCTGCAGCAATCAGAAAGTTCCTCAGGCCCTTGCTGCAAGAGGGAGGAATTGCTAGATAGCCAGCAAAGAGAGCTGCCTACTGATCTTGCTGAGCCAGAGACATTGGCTAGAAAAAGCAGGAGAGGACTGAAGGCAGAGAGCAGCAGGGGGAGATGCCTGATGGCTAGAGAGCTGAATTTGGAGGATCAGAGAGGGCTGGAGTCTGGGGAGAAGGCTCTCACCTTGTGGTGAGGAATGCCAGTACCCTATGTTGGTGGTTTGTTTTAGCTTATGCTCATGGGGCTTTCTTTCATAATTAATTAACCTAGCAAGGGCTGTTTATACTCATTTTCTATTATTCTAGCTTTTTTAATCAAAATATATTGTACCAAATCAAACACTTTACAAGAAATATATGTATATTATTAAACTATTAGCTTTATCAACCAAACTTGTAATCTCATGTAAAAAGATACCTAGTTCTTTTGACAGGTTTTAGTTTCCATAAACCCATGTTGATGTGCATTAATAATGTTACTCTCCTTTAATGCTTATTAATTGAGCTTCTATCAGCTGCTCCATCATCTTGCCTGGGATTGATGTCAGATTAACAGGGTTATAATTACCCAGATCCTTCCATTTACCCTCTTTAAAAATTGGTACATAGGCTTTTGGAACTTCCTCAGTGCTCCAAGACTGATTGAAAATCAGCATTAATGGTCCAGCGATCTTTCAACAAGGAAACCTAAACAAGTTCATAGATGTATCTAGACCAAGTCCAATGACTCACAAGGATCATCTGGCATTGAAGGACTGTTCAGTGGCTTGGCATAATCCACGCTGCCTTGGTTTTGGCTAGAACTACTGAAATAAGATCACCTTCCTCCCTCTCTCCCATGTAAAACCCATCACAGAGGTGCAGATATTTCTGTACCCACTTTGCAACTGCAAACCCCAATCGGTTCTTTGAAAAACTGGTTCTTAGTACTTAAAGCAGTGAAAACTACAAAAATCTGTGCCATCTTAAAAATTGGGGGAGGGGGCAACCCTCACCTTTCTTCATTTAAATGCACAATTAATTTTATGATTATTTATGCTTTATCTTTACGCAGTTTTTAGTGAACAGAAGCCCCAGGTTAGCAACAGCACAGTATGCTCCTGTGCTTGGATTTATGACTCAAATCAAAATCCTATTAACTCTGATTGTTTGTTTGCAGTTCAACTACAAACACACTGACAAAAGGTATTCTTTGCTGTGTACCCAGGGCCAGGGTGCACCTCTGACACTGCTCTGCCTCCGTGGGCATTGGGATGCTGGTAAAGAAGGCAGTCAGAATCCTTTAGAAAACACCAAAGGTATCTTGAGAAGAAAACAAATGAACTGATTAATTCCCTGGACAACAAGAAGAGGATTAAGGATCCAATCATGCAGAGTCCAATCCTGCAACTACTGGATCATGCATAGTGCCTTGAACTCTAAGCATTAAAGTCAAGGAGAATCATGCCCAGAGTAGACCCTAAGCTCTGGGCTGATGAGTTATAAGGGTCAAAAAAAATCCCAGGTGTTCCCATTTCTAAGAACGATATAAGAAGGGTTTGAATGTTACTCCTTATTCTGGATTAATCTTCTGTTCAATTGTAGGGCCAAATAATTCTTATCTTACTCATAGGAGCATCTTTTTGTAAGCAGGATTTCGTCCTCACTTTGCATCAGGAAGACAAGAAGGTGCAGGGTAGGTTGACTGAGCCTGGTAAGAAGCACAGTGGTTGTCAATAAAAAGCCTACATTTGCCAAGATTCTGCTCAATGGATTGCAAGATTCCAGTCCTCCCTTCTGCTTAGAACAGGAACTTACATCCGTGACCATGAGCTATCCGATGGCAAGTGTTGACTTTCAAATGGCTCTTGCAATGATTTAGTACTAATAAAATGTCAGACATGCTGTAGAGGACGACACAATCTATACCTCATGGAGCTGACATTATAAATAACCTTTAAAGTATCGGAGCCTATTTATCCTTACGACCTCCTTATCACCTACATTTATTCCCTTTTTTACAGATGGCAAAAATGAAAGGCTCTATATTGATGGGCAAAAAGCTTAAGCTGATTGAAAAGCTCCATCAAGACACAAGCTAACACATCAGCTGGCTGTCTGAAATGTGGCCAGCCAGTATAGCTTTACAGGCATTAGCCTGGGTCGGGGTGGGTTTTTCAATCTGTTCTGTGTAGGTTCTTTCACTGTGCTCAGCATCACAGGGTTAATTGTGTGAAACTAGCTGAGCTAATAATTGAAAAGCACACTTTTTGCCCACCATGACAAGGCCAGAGAGGTTACTTGACTCATCCAAGACCACATAGTAGCTGGTGGAAGGGATGGGATGAGCGTCCGGAAGTTGACTCCAACACTTCTCTGGCCTTGCCAGTGGATTTTCTGCATGCCTTTTTTCCTGCTATTACTTTCTTGCCATACTATTGGTTATTATGGAGGAGGTGTGCTGGCTTCATAGGGTAAAAGGACAAACCGATAAGTAGGGGGAGCAGTGGAAGGAGCAGTAAGAGGCTTTTTAAAATGTAATGAAATGCAGTGTTAGAGAATGAGGAGAAGAGAGATGGAGGGGCAGAGAAGAGAAGGGATGATGATAATGTATGTATTACACATTTTTATATATTGTAGCATTTATATAGCTTCAAAGAGCTTTAAATATGCCAAATAATGAAAAAGAGGGGGGGAAAAAGAGGGCTGAGATGGATTCCCTCAATACACAGATGAGCAGATATTAGGAAAAACTATTTCACTAGGAGGGTGGTGAAGCACTGGAATGGGTTACCTAGGGAGGTGGTGGAATCTCCATCCCTAGAGGTTTGACAAAGCCCTGGCTGGGATGATTTAGTTGGGCTGGTCCTGCTTTGGGCAGGAGGCTGGACTCTATGACCCCCCTGAGGTCTCTTCCAGGCCTAGGATTCTATGATTCTGTGAAATATATTTACATATACTTGCGCGCACACACACACACACACACGCAAATCCACATGCACAAACACACACTCCAAGTGTCTCTTCAGAGTGTGTTCTGCAAGTGATCATTGATTCTTCCTCCGCACCTTCTCTGAAGGCAGGTGAAGTTGCTGACAGGAATGTCTTTGAGAAAGCAATGCAGTGCAACCATAAATTAATGCAAGTAGAGAAATGAAGCAGGGCCTCACCTCAAACTCCTGGATGACAGTAGCCAGCTGAGAAGATTTAAGGCGGGTTTCATCCAGCAAAGCCAAATTCCTATCAAATTGCATAATATATGCTGTGTGGTGATTGAATCTTGATTCTCTTGAGAGAAAAACATCGGCCACTTTCTGGTGTTCCTCCCTAAAGAGAAAGAAAGAGAAGACCAAGCCAATAAATAACAAAAAATGCCCCATTTCATTCTGGTTACACAAATGCTGTGTATCAGCTGCATGCCGGCTAATGCCATTATGAGCTCTCAGTTAAGGCACAGGTTTAACTGAAGTGCTGGGCAATGGAATCTGCTGTGGAAGAATGGGTCTTGTTTGGGGCCAGCCCCTGTTCTATAACTCTACCTGCCGCAACTATATACATACATGCTGGGCAGAATGTCTTCTTAATGGGCTCACATAGCTCACATTTCTCCAAGCAAGCTTTGCAACACAGCCAGGGTGAACAAGAAACTTTGCTCTGAATGCTGGGGTTAGTGGGAGAATAACTCCACGCTCAGACACCCTTCACTCACAGATCCCTCTCCTTACCCATGTTACAATCCCTCATCTGTAGATCCTTGCACTGTTATAAAATTGGCATCTGCATCTGCAAAATTGATCTGTGGATATTTGCCTCCACATCCCAGATTTGGATACCTATGAATATAAAGTAGATACTTGCAAATATGCAGGCTTCTAGATAAAAAATTTGTATCTGTATCAGCAAGAATGAGCCACAGAGGCCTATCCAGCTTAAAAGATTTGCTCTGGCACTGAAAGACTGTGTCTAGGCAAAACAGAGAATTGTTTTGTCTTGGTAAGATTTAGCTCAGCTAGGACAATTTTTATTTCAGCGGCTCTGAAAGATTGCGTTTAGCCTGAAAACTCAGCCCACGCAAAGGCTTGTTCAAACGCTGAGTGAGTTTCTTTTAACTGGGAGTTATTATATTATGAAGTCACCATGGGAATTACTCTAATTTATTTCAATTTCTATGAGATCTACAATTAAAAAAAAAGATATTTTCCTATATTTCTTAATGTTTCTGAGAGTTGCTTTTTCTTTTGGGGTTTTTTTGCATGTTCCCTCTTCCTGGTATTTGAGTCTGACTCATGGTTCATACACATTAGACTGCTTTGTGACAATCACTTAGGGGACTCAACCAGATTGGGGACCCAATGTTGCTAGGAACTGTAAAAACATAGCAAATGTTGCGAGTTGAGCTGTTCACCCACTGATTTATGGGGCTGCTTAGGAGTCCTGGGCTGTATTCAATGTTTTATCATGGTAGGGAATCTTAACCTTGTTGCCAGTGGTTCTTGGAATAAAGGAAAATCAAGATATTTTGAATGTACTGAGGACAAGACAAGGCCATTAAGTTGTCACTTACCAGTTGAGGACTCTTTCTTCCAGCTCTGCCAATATCTCCTGGTGTAGTTTGTGGATTTCAGGGATCTCATTCAAGCCCTGCTTGAGCTTCACCTCCTCCCTCTCACTTGCATCGTCATCCCCCAGTACTTTCAAGATCGCTTCATGGAAATCCTGTGAATACATCACCTGTTACACAGCAGCTAAGGCAACAGATCAGAGGTTCTTTATGGCACTTAAACCATTATTAACTTTTCCTTTAAATTCCAAAATTTGTTTGCAAACAGGAAACTTTACGGGAATTATAAGATATACCATATACCATAAATATTAATATATCACAGGCAAAGGAGGAATGAGAACATAGGATAAATTTTCATTCACCCAATAGTTTCACAGTTACTGTACATTTCAGTAATTGTATAGAGTACTGAGTTAAAGTCCAGAGTACTGAGAACCCAAAATATCTTCTATTATATATTTGAGAGTCTGTTTGTTCAAGAACTTCTAAAGTGTAACAGCTAGGACCACCAAATCTGGTATATAACTTCCTCTTATTTTAACTTAAAGCAAGACAAGAGTTTGGTTGTGCCCGGACAATGGGATGTGCCTATAACTGAGTTATTTCTCATAAAGTGAAAAGGGAGGGGCCTGGTAGAATGGAGTTGTACTGTAGAATGACCACAGTGGGACAGCAAGGAGCCAGAGATGGGGACCGGGACTGCAATAACCCTATTGGGCTGGCAAGGGTGGAGAAAGGGACAGCTGTTTACTATATATTTCAGAGAATTTGTCTGTTTCTGTGTCTGGCTGTCCCCCAGTTGGAGGACATTCACCCCTCTCCGGCTGTGCCTGCTGCAGCTGCCATGGTCAGGCACTTCTCATCTGGCCGTAAGCTGCTGCAGTAAGAGAGGACTGGAGCTGTCCTCTCTCTTCCCAGGACAGCCTGCATACTGAGCCCCTCATCCCCAGTCCCACCCCCCAACAATGATTTAAATGAAGAAAACCAAAACTTATCTAAGTTAAGGACCCGAGCAATGCTGGGTAGTAGAAAACCCTGAAATACCATCATGAATAAATTAGATGAAAGTAACATATTGGACTGGGAGCTTTTATTTTTCAATAAAGTTGGGATTCCGTATGTTACATTCACAAGAATACAACTAACATATACTATTAACATATAACTCATTAGGACATGTAACATATGGGTAGTAAGAGTTTAAGTGGGATAAGAAAAGAAAACATCTCAGTTAAGGATGATGTCAGGTTGCTCTTATTACACTTAAAAGGCAGAGATGCAGGGGGGTCAGTTGATTCTCAGTTTGTACCTGGTCCCCTGCTGTGCCTCTGCCTCCCCTGCCCATCCTCACATGGAGATGGGGGATAGAAGCAGCAAAGGGGAGGGGAAGTGACTTGTCAAGTAGTGACTCGGCTATCCAATAAACCTAGGCTTGTCAGGTAGTTGACTACTCAACTAGTTGCTTACATCCCTAATCTTAGTAGGGAGTTTTGCAGGGACAACTTCCAAATGGTCTTGGACACAGTAATTCTTATTTCTTTGTTGGTATTGTAAGTCAGATTCCCAATGTTCTTTGCTTTTTTCTTTAATTTGGAAATTTGTTGATATTTATCTCTTTTGCATTTCTAGAGAATCTAACTGCAGATGTACCAGGCAGTGTTCCCACTAATAGTTTTCTATTTATGTGCAGAATAATGTTTGTTATATGCACCAAGGGAAGTGCAGATGTGCACCACCAGTAGAAACACATGTTGCAGGCAGCTGTTGACACTCTGCTAATCAGCTGGATGGCACCTGAATCAGTCTTGGATGGCCTCTCAAGCACTCAACTTACAGGGAACACTGATAGCAGGGTCTATTTCTAGAGAATTTATGAGAGACTCAAAATAGGAGTAAAGCACCAAAACTGCTGAAACTGCAGGTAAAGCATCTAACCACCTTTATTTCATGAAGCCCTGCTAAGTAAAGTATGGAAAGCCAAAAATAATATAGTAGTCCAAAATCATTCTGCTTTACCTGTCCTGGAGTGAAAGTAATTATACAAAGGATACATTTGGAGCAAGGCTTAAATGAAGTGACTAATTTTCTCATGGGACCATCAAAAGATCCCTAATGCTTTCCTTAGTTTTTCTTTACTTTAATACCACTTTGCAGCCATCATTTTTTCATCCTGAAGTCTCACAAACATGATATTCTATATTAACCTTCCTCAGGGCTATGGTTATTTTGCTGGCTGGTGTGCAATATGAGGTAACTGCCTTTTCATGGTGGGGAAAGTAATTATATTGTGTGTGCATTGTTTTGGAGTGCAATGTTATGCAAATTATTATATAAATGAAAGGTGGTGGCATTGGATTAAATTCATCCACCAGACTCACTGGAAATGAGGAACACCAGGGGAAAATGTAGCATATTGCCTCTTTTGTTCACGGCAGATTGAATGGAACTCTGATCAAAAGCTATCTTAATGGTTTCAGAGCTGATAAAATATCCAGTTACTAGTTTTCTGAACTAAAATGCTGATATTCCATTGGATATTGGACTGGGAGCTTTTATTTTTCAGTAAAGTTAGGGGATTCCATGTTACATTCACAAGAATACTATTAACATATAACTCATCAGGACATGTAACATATGGGTTGTCTTTCTAAGAATGCACAGCAGCCACAATGGTGTTTTATAGTGGAAAGGTAAATAGTTTATTGTTGAGTGGGGTGAATCTTTAAACTAAACAAGTGCTACTGTTGTGTCTTGCCAGCTCTGGGGCTAGAAGACCTGGATTAGAAGTGAGGTCTCCTACACAGTAGTGCAGAGTATTAGAAAGTAGCAATCCTTGTTCAAGAAAATTCTAAAGAACAAAATGAGAGGTATTGCTGTGATGCATAACACTCCAGCGCCTAATTCTTCACTATCACTACTACAACAAAGCATTATTGGACTGAACAGAGAGGATATTAGCCAATTCAGAAATATGCCTGGAGAGCATCATGCAGAACTGTGAATAGATATTGTATTCCCCTGAAATGGATATATTAAGAGATGTGTTTGAGCCAGGCAGCTGGGTGTTCCTTAGTCTGGACCAGGTAGAGCTCTTGTGGTCAAATTTCATGCTTTCTGCCAATGGGATCTTTATGGTGAATTAACTGGATCCCACATTGTCTACAAAAGTAAATGAAAATTTGGGAAATTGGAAGTACATTCCAGCTTGTGATGAGGGCAGGCGCTGAAGAACCGTACGGAATCATTTAAAAAGTAATTTAGAACTTTTCCCAATCCTTTCTTTGCATCCCAATAAACCAGGAAGTGTCTGGAGTTTTATTGTACAAGGAAAGGTGGGAAGAGAGAAAAAGGGAAACAGAGAGGGAGGAGAGTTCAATTAATTGCAAAGCCAGTTTGAAAGTGAGGCCCATTAATTGTAGGATGTAAATGCTCCTTACAGAGCAGCAGTGGCAGAAGTGGAGGTTACAAAATTTCCTGTTTTATAAAAAGATTCTGTCCTTATCTGACCTTCTTTTGCTTTTTGTGTGTGAGACTATGAAGTGAGGGGGTGCTCCATTAGCTCTTGTTAAAGACAAAGCTAGCCAGTCCTTTGCATGAGTCTCAAGACAGACTCCGGACATAATCTGGTCAGTCACATAAACAGATCCTGGAAAAAAATGCAGTGGACCACAGGATAGTCTCATGATCGACACCTCCTCTTCTGTTCCCATTCAAGCATTGTTTTCACTTGTAGAAATATATTACTCTGTATTATGTATCTGTCAGCTTGGATGGCCTGCTGTCAATCTCACAGGGGGAGTTGCAGGGACTTATTTCACAAACTTTAACACACAAGGAACTACGGCAGTATGAGAGATTCAAGGCAGGCTTGGAATTGTAAGACACCAGACTGATAACCCTGGTTACTGAAACTCTGTCTCTGACTCGCCCACGCACTGCCCCATGAACATGACTCACATCTGACCCATAGTAACAGCCTCTACAGATAAGAGGGGAGCTCAGCCTTCTGGTCCACTTAGCTTCTCTGCTGAACTTGTCAGCAGTGTTGCCAATCAGAGCCAATTGGGTTGGTGGTTTTTATGGTGTGGATATCTGTCCCCAGGGAACTGGAATAACACTGCTTCAGTGGTGACTTAAAAGCTTGAGTTGTGTGTCCACATCACAAAAGCTGTCACCTCAGGTATCTGGACAGTGACAAAATAAGCAGGGAGAACCTTTTAAAGTGATGGTTCTGTTGACAGTGCACATGAGAAGATCAAGTAAGCACAACTCCACTGATAAAGTAAATATTAAATGATAGGGCTTTAATTCTGATTTAGGAGGCCAGAGAAATTTAAGTGGCTTGCCCAAGATTACAAAAGTCATGGTGCAGTTCAGGATAGAACCCAAGTCTGCTTTCTCCTAGTCCAAGGCTTTAGCAAATAGAACAAAGAGTATCAGGAGTCACTATTCCAACAGGCTTAAACAAGCTGAATTCTGCTTTTGTCTGAACTTTGTGGCTTGAGACAGAAACATTTAGTATCTTAATGGTCAGGGTGGACTCATGCTGTGAATATATTTCTTCACATGCTACTGTGCAAACAGCAAGTTATTATTAAAAACAACATTCCACTTTTTTTAAAAAATTATACATTAAACATATATGCTGTCTGCTCAAATTAGCTCATTCATTAGAAGAAAAAATGCAGCTGTTTTAACACTCCATGGGAAGATGATTTTGCTGGGTGAGTTAATAGAAATGGCAGCAAGTTTTTTCCACTCAGAGACAATTTCCTGGCCTCCTGCCACATTGTATGTAGTGTGGCTGAATGTGCTGAGAAAGGAAGTAAAGGCTCAATAAAAAGAAACCATTATGGTCATATTTATCATTTGATGACGCACTGCTTCTTTTATCCAGCCTTGAAGAAGGCTGGGTAAATTAGTTTGGAGAAGCGAACAATCTTCTCCGGCTAGATCTAGTAGACATGACCTAGTAGCCTTCCAACATGTCAGACTTTTAAGGGTTGAAAAATTATCTTTTTGTTCATTTCCTTTCCTACAAATTCTGAGGCTGTTCCAATATGGATCCAGAGTTTACCCTGGGCCCCATCTCCAATAACTGTGAAGATCAGCCCTTCAGCTCAGGTAAAAAATGGTAGCACCACTGACTTAA